AAAAGGGTAAGAAAGGAGACAAAATGGGAATAAGGTTGAGGGACTGATGAAAAGGAATAACAAATTAAGAAAAAGAGGAATTTCCCTGGTGGTCCAGTGGCTAAGAATCCACCTTCCAATGCACTGGGTGTGTGTTCAATCCCTGATCAGGAAACTAAGCTCCCACATGCCTCGAGGCCAAAAAGTCAAAACATAAAGCAGAAGCAATATTATAACAAACTCAATTAAGACTTAAACATATGGTCCACATCTTTAAAAATCTTAAAAAAAAAAAAAAACAGCAAAAGGGAAGACAGAGATGGCATCAAGATGGTGGAGTAGGAGGAAGTGGAGAGCACCTCCTCCATGAACACATCTAAGATTCATCTACATATGGAACAATTCTCACTGAAAACCAGAGACTGACAGAAACCAAGTTCCTGCACAACCAAGGCTGTAAGAAAAATGCACACTTAATCCAGTAAGAAGAGAGGAAAAGTGATCAGATCAGGACTTGGGAGGAAAAGGAAGATCACACGGGTGGAGAACCATGCTGGGGAGTGAGCAGTTCAAGCCACATACGGGCACCCCAGTCCTGGGCTCCTCTGTGAGGAAGATGAGAACCCTTGGCATGTGGGAAGACCACCAGGACTAACAGGAGAGCATGGGGAACCTGGACTTACTCATGAGGCACGCACATGTGCTGGGCTGCCCCCACAGGTGGAGCGGAGGTGCAGTGGCCCCAATTTTTCCGAGACAGCCTGGGTGCATGCCCCAGCTGAAGCAGAGAGAATGAGCCAGCCACCATTTACCCTGGGTCATAGCGTGACACTAGATCTGGGTGGCCATGACCAGGAAGAAAGTTCAGCTGTGGGAAACTCAGAGGTGACCTGGGTGGGGCAAAGCCTGGGTGAGGCAGCAGGAGCCATTGTCAGCGCTTATTCAACAGTACCTCAGAAGCAGCCCAGATCTTTGAGGTGGCCAACCCACCACAGCTCCTGCCTGCCCGCCAAGTCATTTCAGTCATGTCCGACTCTTCGTGACCCCAGGGACTGAGCCCGCCAGGTTCTTCTGTCCATGGGATTCTCCAGGCAAGAATACTGGAGTGGGTTGCCATGCCCTCGTCCAGCGTATCTTCCCAACTCAGGGATCGAACCTGAGGCTCCTGCACTGCAGACGGATTCTTTACCACTGAGCCACCAGGGAAGCCCCCGCCCCAGCTCACTCCCCAGTAAATACCTCAGGTTCCTGTGAGCCCTGCCTGCCCTGAGGTGACGCTCCACAACAGGGAGGGGCAGTGATCAGCCGTGAGGGACAAAGGGACTTGAACCCAAAGCTACATCTGAGCAGAATAAGGGAAACGACTGCAGGCATCGGCACAGGCAGCACATCAGAGACGATTCGGATCTCTGTCTGTGACTGGAACGAGTGGACAGACCCCATGGATCCCCTTGCTTCAGCACTACTCCCTGTAGGACAAGGGTCCCAGGAAAAAGAGAGGGGAAAACACACTTACAGGAAACAGGGGCTTCCCTAGTGGCCCAGCGGTAAAGAACCCACCTGCCAGTGCAGGAGACACGGGCTCAGTCCCTGGTGCAGGAAGATACCACATGTTGTGGAGCAGCTAAGCCCATGTGCCAGCTCTACGGAGCCTGTGACTAGAGCCCGGCAGCCCCGGTGACCGAGCTCCCAGGCGCAGCTACTGAAGCCCATGCGCCCCAGAGCCCTTGCGCTTCAATGAGAGGAGCACCGCAATGAGAAGCCCAAACACCACAACGAAGCCTAGCCCTGCTCGCTGCAACCAGAGAAAAGCCTGAGCGGCAACAGAGGGGACAGCACAGCCAAAATACATAAATAAATAACATTTAGAAAATAAACAAAAGGAAACAGAGCCAGCTGGGCCCAGCCCTCAGGGCTTCGGCTTCAGCAACTTGGAATCAGTCCTTATCCACAATAGAGCAGTGATGGCCACTGGGAAGTGGGGAAGTACCCCCTTATACCGGCTCGAGCTCTTGCCCTTCCATGTCCAGCCTGACCTCTTAGCAGGATGGCAGCTTCCAGCATACCCTGAGGAAAGATGTGATTACATCCACGCTAAATCCAGCTCTGCCACCAAAGGCATAGGGCACACATAGTCTACACAGAAATGCTCCCACACAAGAACACCCCTTTAAAAATAAATAAGAAGAACATCCCTTTAAGACTGCAGAGGTAACTGTTTCACCTGAACTTAGGTCAGAGAAAGTTAAACCAAAAATAAAAATAAGGCAGATGAACTGCTCTCAACTGAAACAGCAAGAAAAATATTCTGAAAAAAAAAAAAACAAAAAAAAACAGAAGTAAGCAATTACCAGAGAAAGAATTCAAAGCATTAGTAATAAGAATGTTAACTAAATTAGGAAAGGGAATAAATGAACACAGTGAGAATTTTAACTAGAAAATACTTTTAAAAGCTCTAAAAAATGGAGAATTCAATAACAAATAAAAAGCACAGTAGAAAGAATAAATAGCAGATTAAGTGGTAAGGAAGAATGCATAGGTGATCTGTAAGATAGAATAATGGAAATCACTCCATCATAAAAGCAAAAAGAGAAGAAAATTTTAAAAAATGAAATCAACCTAAGAGGTCTCTCGGATAAGATTAAGTGCAACAATATTTGCATTAAAGGGCTTCCAGAGAGAGAAGAGAGAGGGAAGAGGATCAAAACTCATTTATAATCATTTCAAAAAGAATAAAACACCTAGGAATAAACCTGTCTAAGGAGACAAAAGAAATGTACTCCAAAAACTATAAGATGCTGATGAAGGAAACTGAAGATGACACAGACAGATGAAAAGCTATATCATGTTCCTGAATTGGAAGAATTTATATTGTTAAAATTACCATACTAACCAAGGCAATTTACAGATTCAATACAATCTCTGCCAAAATATCAATGGCATTTTTTACAGTTGTTGTTCACCAAGTCATTTCCCACTCTTTGTGACCCCATGGACTGCAGCACACCAGGCCTCCTTGTCCCTCACCATTTCCTGGAGTTTGCCCAGGTTCATGTCCATTGATCGGTGATGCCATCAAACCATTCTTCATGGAAGTAGAACAAATAGTTAAGAAATTGTTATAGAAACACAAAAGAGCCCAATAACCAATCTTGAGAAAGAAGAACAGACCTGGAAGAATCACTCTTCCTGACTTTAGACTAGACAGCAAATCTATAGCAATCAAAATAGTACGGTATCGTTGACTCAGTGGGCATGAACTTGGGCAAACTGTGGGAGACAGTGAGGGACGAGGAGGCCTGGCCTGCTGCAGCCCATGGGGGTCACAAAGAATCAGACCCTGAATAACAACAACATTAAACAGTGAGATCAGAACATTTCCTTACACAAGAATAAATTCAGAATGGTTTAAAGACCAAAATGTAAGACCTGAAATCATAAAACTTCTAAAAGAGAACATAGGTAGAACACTCTTTGACACAAATTATAATGATATTATCTTGTATCATTCTCCTAAGACAAAAGAAGTAAAAGCAAAAATAAAAATAAAAAAAGAAATCAAAGCAAAAAAACCAAATGGAACTTAATTGAACTTAGAGGCTTTTGCACAGCAAAGGAAGCACCGAAAAACAAAAAGACAACATATGGAATGGAAGAAAATGTCTAAAAATGATACAGCTAACAAAGGCTTAATATCCAAAATATACAAACAGTTCACGAAACTCAATATTAAAAAGTAACCTATCAAAAAATGGTCAGAAGACCTAAGTAGACATTTTTCCAAAGACGTACAGATTGCTAAGAGGCACATGAAAAGATGCCCAACAACACTAATCAGCAGGAAAATGCAAATCAAAATCACTGTAACCACACACCTGTCAGAATGGCTGTAAATAACAAATGTTGGAAAGGATGTAGAAAAAAGGGAACTCTTGTACACCCTCGGTGGAAGCAAAAATTGGTGTAGCTGCTATAGAAACAATATGTATGTTCCTCAAAAAACTAAACATAGACTGACACTCTTGCTGTTTAGTCACTGAGTCATGTCTGATTATTTTGTGACCCCATGAACTGCAGCCCACCAGGCCCCTCTGCCCATGGGATTTCCCAGGCAAGAATAGTGGAATGGATTTCCATTTCTTTCTCCAGGGGATCCTCCCAATCCAGGGATCAAACCTACGTCTCCATTTGCAGGTGGATTCTTTACCACTGAGAGACCTGGCAAGCCCTAGAACCACCATATTACCCAGCAGTTCCACTCCTGGGTGTCTATCTGGAAACACAAACACACTAATTTGAAAAGTCAGGGAATTATAGCCATTATTTTGTAATAACTTTTAATGAGGTAATTGAAACCTATAAAAATACTATAAAAAATCAATCACTATGCTGCACATCTAATACTAATATAGTACTTTAAATCAACTACCCTTCAATACAAAATAAAAGAGAAAACAAATAAAGAAGAAAACCGAAATTCCGGTAAACAAAGAATAGGATATCACACTATATAATTTTTAAGCATAATTACAGATATTATCTCATTAAATATCACAACGACTCCAAGAGATAATTACCATTCTTCATTATGCTTAGCAGAGGAGGGCCTGAGCTGAGCCCAAAGGCGGGCTGAACGACCTCACTGTCCTTTGACAAGCAGTTCCTGTACTTCACTGTTTCTGTCTCCCCTCTCTGGATGGCTTCCTCTCCAGGAATACACAGAGACCCCTCATCCCTTCGCTTTCTGGCTGCCTCTCTCCTTGCCCAAATTGCTGAAAATTGCCAAAATTCTGTTTTAAAAAAAGACAGAAGCCCAAACCCGCGAGATGCCTGTTCTGAAGAAATACAGATTCATTCACCTGGTGACTGCTGTTTGTTCACATAAAATACAAACAGCCACTCACAGCCATGCCCCTTTCGGCCGCCTCCCTCTTTTTCTTCCCCAAACAGCGAAGCCCACCCCTGACTGCATCACTACCATCCTCCTCTCACCCTTCATACCCCCAAACCATTTCCACTACCTTGTCCCTCCTCCGGTTCCTCCTCCGGTCACTCTGTATTTCAGATGAAACTGGCTCAGCCAGGGAAGGGGAAAAAAAAAAAAACAAACCAACTCGTTTTGGGTAGGGCAAGTTGTGCCGGCCTCAAGGAAATGCTTTTCAGTCCCTCCTTCCCACTGTGGGGCGTGGCCGCGGGCAAAGGATGGAGTTTGGGCGGGCTCCCCACAAAAGGAAAAGTCTGCGGGCACTGAGGTTTCCGGGCCTCACCACACCTGAACCAGCAGGAAACCTCTGCCGAAACTGTAAAAGCTGGACTTGTTGCTGATCAACCTATTCATTTCCTTCTCAAGCGATTGCTGGACGGTCAGGTGTAGAAGACCTGCCTGTCCAGGTGAAAATGTGGTCACGATGAGGCGCAATAGCGCCACCTTCTGTGCGATTCAATAACAGTTGCCTTCTTCGGTACTCAAAATGGCCAGGATTTGACCTTGGGCTCCGGGACAATCGCAACCCTAAACCTTTACTGAGTGCACCAGTTAATACTGACCATGAGAAAATAGATAGCGAACAATTGAACACAAAAATCTCAGGAGTAAGTAATCAATCATTCACAAATGCTTTTAAAATAATCTATGTGCTGGGTTCTCCTCTAGGGATACAGTGATGAGCAACCTATTTAGGTTACTGGCCCACAAGGAATTTACAATCATAGGAGACCCTGAAGAAAATACTCAGCTGGGAGAACTCCAAACTTGATACTAGCACCGAATACACGTTCTACTCAAGAAATATAGGTCACATAGTGTATAGATGGCTTACTTGCTCAGCATTGTTAGCAAACCAAGCAGAAACTGGGAATCCTTAGAAAGAATTTGGGTACCATGTGATGTCGAGCATTTGAAGACTGGGGTACTTCAGTTCTCTGGAGTCTTTGCTATTGATAGTTTTATTTCCTTCAGAGCTCTTTCAAAATAGGAAGAACTGTACTGCATGCCACTGAAGTGTACATTTAAGAATGGTTGGTGGTTAATTCTATGTTATGTGAATTTTACCTCAATTTAAAAAAATGAAAGAATGAAGTCTCATCAGTCAAATTTTCTTCCCATCCTTTATGTCATAACTGATGACTAAAAGCCAAATGAACAAATCTGAGCTTTATGTTATATGGCCTCTTCTACTCAGCTTCCCCATGGACCCTGATCTCCTCAAAGTAGAGACTGTGGCATACTCATTTTTGTAATTCCTGCAACACCTGCGTTATCTTGCTGAATACCCATTCTGATACATAGAATTCTGTTTAAATATCTCCTTTTTGTAAAGGAGTCACCATAGTCACAAAAGTTATAACCTCTAAGACCTAGAAAAAATGTTAAATATATATAGATAGAACAAAGGAGGATTCAAAAATGTATACTCTAATCTTAATGAACAATTCAATAAATGGTGAATTTTTAAATTTTCTGAGATAGAGAGAACTCTGGAAATAATAATGCTCAGACATGGAAACACCAACATACATACTAAATAGAAAATCCTCACTAAACAAAAGATATAAGCAGGAGGTATACATGTGTGATTGGTTCCACACATTTACACGTGAATAAGGTGACTGGATCATTCTTATTTTGCTCTTCTCTCCAAGTGTTCATTCTCTTATAATCTCCATTATTACCTCTGTCTCACAGTTATGACCCTCTTATTCATTTTCAGCAATCTTCAGTTCATCCATCCTTACCAGATGGTTATTTCTACCTCATCATTAATTCAATCAGCTTAAAATACACTGATTGATTTATTTTTGGCTGCACTGGGCCTTCGTTGCTGCGTGCAGACTTTCTCTAGTTGTGGTAAGTGGGGGCCACTCTTTTGTTGGGGTGGATGGGCTTCTCATGGGAGTGGCTTCTCTGTGGCAAAGCACAGACTCTAGGCATGCAGGCTTCAGTAGCTGTGGCCCACTGATTCTGTTGCTCCGAGGCATGTGGGGTCGTCCCACACCAGGGATTGAACAGTCCCCTGCATTGGCAGGTGGATTCTTATCCACTATACCACCAGGGAAATCCCAATCAGCATTTATTGAATGCCCATTTTCTGCTCTGCCAGCATTTATTGAGTGCTAAGTATTGAACAGGCTTCCCTGGTAGCTCAGCTGGTAAAGAATCTGCCTGCAATGAAGGAGACCTCAGTTCGATTCCTCGGTCAGCAAGATCTTCTGGAGAAGGTTAGGTCTACCTACTCCAGTATTCCTGGGCTTCCCTGGTGGCTCAGCTGGCAAAGAATCCACCTGTAATGCGGGAGACCTGGGTTTGATTTCAAATTAAATTCTATCTTAATTGATAAAAAGTTTTGTCATATTAAAGAAAAGAAGGACATGCACTCATCTTCTCCTGCAAGAACTGCAAAGTTGCAACTCACTGCTGAACAAGCATCGACAGGAAAATGTTGGATCCCACCAAAAAAAGATACCCCACGTCCAAGGACAAAGGAGACGCCCACCAAGAGGGTAGAAGGGATGAAATCACATTTAGAATCAAACCCCATCCCTGCCAGAGATGCTCAGAGGGCTCAAACAAATCCTTGTGCACACCAGGACCCAGGGATCCCACAGAGACTGAGCCAGACCTTTGAGTGTTTGTCCCTGCGGAGACTTGGGTCAGCGGCGGCCTGCTGTGGGGACAGGGGCTCTGGCTGCAGCAGACTTGGGTCACACAGTGTGTGGCATAAGCCCTCTTGGAGGAGGTCACCATTAGCCCCAACATAGAGCCACCGAGCAGACAACCCACAAACTGCAGAACAATTATACAAAATAAATTCTCACACTGTTGAGAAAGCTCTAGGACCAACAACAGATTTCCCAACCTGGGGATCTGGCAAAGGGACTGATAACCCCCAGGGAATATGACTTTGGAGGCCAGTGGGATTTGATTACAGAACTTCCACAAGACTGGGGACACAGACTCTTGGAGGACACAGACAAAACCTTGTGCACACCAGGAGCCAGGAGAAAGGAACAGTGTCCGCACAAGAGGCTGAGCCAGACATGCCTGTGAGTATCCAGGAGTCTCCAGCAGAGGTGTGAGTTGACAGTGGCCTGCTGCAGGGTCAGAGGCACTGGATACACAATGTGTGAAAAGTCCTTTTGAAGGTCGCCATTATCTTCATTACCCCTACCATAGTTTGGCCTCAGGCCAAACAACAGAGGGGGAAAACAGCCCCTCTCATCAAGAGAAAATAACACTAAAGATTGACTGGTATGACCCTGCCCTTCAGAACAAGACCCAGTTTCCCCCAAAGTCAGTCTTTCCCATCAAGAAACTTCTGTAAGTCTCTTATCCTTCTCCATCAGAGGGCAGACAGAATGAAAACCACAGTCACAGAAAACTAACCAAACTGATCACATGGACCACAGCCTTGTCTATCTCAATGAAACTATGAGCTATGCCATGTAGGGCCACCCAAGACGGACTGGTCATGGGAGAGTTCTGACAAAACATGGTCCACTGGAGAAAGGAGTGGAAAATCACTTTAGTGTTCTTGCCTTGAGAACCCCATGAACAGTATGAAAAGGCAAAAAGATATAACACTGAAAGATGAACTCCCCAGGTTGGTAGGTGCCCCATATGCTACTGGAGAAGAGTGGAGAACTAACTCCAGAAAGAATGAAGAGAAAGAGCCAAAGCAAAAACAACACCCAGTTGTGGA